CAGCGAAAGATTCGAATAAGGAAAACACTGAAGTGCTTGGACGGGGGAAGCGTAGCGTAGTGCTGTCGGATCAGACACGAAATAAAGCCACAAATGAGGACAAACGAAAAGAGCACCAGAAGATGTTGGCACAGCAGCTGAACGACGCTGCTCGTCAACGTCTTGCTCAAGCAAGTGGATCAAGTGAAGCTAAGAAGTCCGTTTTTTTTCTGAAACTAGGATATTATTCCTTTTCAACAGTTTATAGCCTTAAAATTGTTCTGTTGTCCCGAGCCTCTTTTGAATCTTGTGAGTCTTTTGCAATAAATTTTGGCGCCCCTTTTATGTGTTTAACATTCAGTTTTATAGCCAGTTTCTTTCAGAATCAAAAAATCGAATGTGTCATACAAGTCCTACGACAAGTTCCCAGTAGACACAGAAATCAATAAACTCAATATTTATGTTGGTGAGTTTTTGAACCTCGCACTTCTCTTATTTATATTTAATTTTAGAGTACTCATATCTTCTTTTATATCCTTGTTCCAATGAAAATTTCAGACAAGCGCCACGATACCATCATTCTACCCATCTTTGGTATACCGGTTCCTTTTCATATTTCTATGATAAAGGTTAGTAGGCTACCTGAATGTTTGCTGTTCACTTGGAGCCTCAGGGTAGTTGCGTTTAGAATTGTTCTCAATCCGTGGAAGGTGACTTTACATATCTGCGTATCAACTTCGCTCATCCTGGATCGCAAATTGGTAAAGAATTGGCACAGTTCCCGAATCCGCTCGCTACTTATCTCAAAGAGCTCACGTATAGGTCAGTCTACGCACGCCGACTTATTAATTATTGACTTTGCCTGTAAATGGTGCTTTCAGGGCTAGTAACGTAAAAGAACACGGAGAAGTTGCTGCCCCAAGTAATAATTTGACTACCGCTTTCCGACTTATTAAAGAGATTCAGAAACGATTCAGGTACGATTTTTGTAGTAATTTTCAAGTAGGAATCCCATTGTGGCTTTCTTCTAGTGAAGGTAATATTTCAGGACTGAAGAGGCAGAAGAGCGTGAAAAGGAAGGTGCTGTGAAGCAAGATAAACTGATTCTGAGTACTGCAAAAGCCAACCCTAAATTGAAAGATCTGTAAGCTTTAGATGAATAGTGCGGTAGTTCTTGTTTCATAAACTGATATGACGGTTCTCTCAGATTTGTGCGGCCAAATATTATCGCGAAACGTATCTCGGGATCGCTGGAAGCGCACATAAATGGTTTCCGGTAAGAATTCGTTGTCCTCCCCGACTATCTCTTTTAACTTTCGTTTCCCTTGTTCAGTTTTCAAAATGGAATTTTCTTGTTCAGTTACACGTCCCTTCGTGGAGATCGAATTGATGTGCTCTACAATAACATCAAACACGCTTTCTTCCAACCGTGTGATAATGAAATGATCATTCTGTTACACTTCCACCTAAAGCATCCGGTACTATGGGGAAAGAAGAAATACAAGTAAGTTTGTTATTCGCGTTTCCTAGGTGAAACCGTTGTTACTGAAATGATCGATTGCAGAGATATTCAATTCTATACTGAAGTCGGTGAGATCACTACGGATCTTGGGAAATACCATCATATGCAGGATCGTGATGATGTGCAAAGTGAACAGGTAGGGTGGCCCTCGAAAGTGGAGTGATTCGAAGCTCATAGTAACAATACGCTATTACAGATGGAACGCGAGATGCGGCGAAAGTTGAACCAGACGTTCCAAAACTTCTGTGATAAGGTGAGAACTATCTTACGCTTGTACATGTAGAGCGTTTAGATGCTATCATCTGAGGTCATTTTGCTTCACATGTGGTTGGAACGGAAGTAAGGTTGTTCGAGAAAACAGGACCTTCAGGAAAAGCGCTGAAGAAGAAAGAAGAAAAAAAAGGAATACCGGAAATCTTATGATAACATGGCCCGGGTAAAGAGGATGCCTAGCAGTTCGTTATCTTAGCTGAGCATAGCCATTATAGAACCCCCGCTTATATTCCACTCTGAAACCAGAAAGTCATGAAAAAGATAAGATACAAATTGATTGATTGGTTGATCATTGACAGCGTGGCGATGTCGATAAAGTATCAATTTTCTAGTTCGGCGGAGTCATACACTCCTTATCCCTGAGTCAGAGTAGACGTGGCACTGGAGCAAATGGGTTACTTGTGAAATATTCCAGTCTGGAACAACAGTCACTTGTTGTGTGTTGGTCAGAGACATGACAACAATTGTGTCAAAAATGAAAATATCTTATCAGAAGCATAGACACCTTCAGGTTAAGTTGAAACATGCGGCCACGCCTACCCGATCTCAGGGATTTCGAGTATACCTCTCTCGCGGGTTCGTTCACTGCAGTGTTTTGGAATGTCGTTTCTCAGAGCACTCTGGAAAAAATTCCTTTCAGGTGGTGAAACAGACTAACGACCAGTTCGACTTTGACGCTCCGTTTAGTGAGCTCGGTTTTCTTGGTCCACATCGCTCCAGTTGCACTCTGAAACCTACCTCATCGTGCCTGGTGAACCTCACGGAATGGGTAAGTCTTCAAGTTTTCCTGATTTTTTCAGCATGAGCCTTGTATGGGTCCTTTCATAATTCTTATTTTTCAGCCACCATTCATCGTAACTTTGGACGAAGTGGAGCTGGTACACTTCGAGCGTGTTTCTTTCCAACTGAGAAGAATTTCGATATGGTTTTCATATTCAAAGATTACAGTCGTAAAACTCAGATGGTGCAGCAAATTCCGATGAGTAGTCTAGATAGCGTAAAGGTGATAGCTTTATCTCCAATAAAATACCCATTGAAAATGAACGAAATGCTGCTTTCAAGGAATGGCTGAATACCAGTGATTTGCGTTATACTGAAGGAATACAGTCTTTGAACTGGCCGAAGATTATGAAGGTTTGATTTGACCACATGGATTTTGGTGGTACTGGCAATCACAAAACTGTGTTATTCAGACAATTACGGATGATCCGGAAGAATTCTTTGAAACTGGAGGATGGAATTTCCTTGCTAACGATTCGGATGCTGATGCTGAGCCAGAGGTAAGCTAGCATAAAAGGTGGCCGTTTTCGGCCAGAAATTGGACCGTTGTAAAAAAAGCTTTCAAAAGCTTCACGACGGCTGTCAGAAAGCGAATTATCTCATCAGGAGATGGATCCAACTTCCTATGGAGCTTTAAATGAAGACCTATATGGATTGATAGTACTCTACTACATACTGCAGATAGAGAGATCAAATTGTGTTGCGGGAATCCCTAGCAGTAGCTAGCTCTGAGCATATAAGATTTGGGTAGACGCGGTTTTATGATGTTTCACGGCGAAAACAGCACTATGTGACAACCACCTTCCTCACGGCTGCATCAGGGCACATCATTGGTTGGGGATCTTAGTCGAGTGTTTACGACCCTCCTTTTTTTGAGGGCTGGTACGACCTCCCCCCCCCCCCCCTACGATCGATCGACCCGAGCGGGGTGTGAGAGGGCATATAGTACGCATGAAACAGGAAAATCACAAAAAGAATCACAAAATCACCACTCCCACCACTCCTAGAAGGCCAAAAAGTAAATACGACCCCCCAACAATGACCAAGTACGACCCCCCCCCTTTACAACGTCCGTGAAGCGAGAAAAATCAACTATCAAAATAAATTTTTCCCAGCCCAAATACGACCCCCCTCTCCTGGCGGCCAAATACGACCCCCCCCTATTGGGGATTCCCCAATAACGATGTGCCCTGGGCTGCATTCAGACTTTGACGGGCGTCAACGCGCTACAATCAGCGTTTCCATAGGCGCGAATGCAGCCGCGACGGGAATCGATCGGCGCCGGGAACAGGAGGGTGCGCGTTGCCTAATCACACGGTCTGGTATGTCGGCACTGGCCGCTAGGACTTTGGGAGGGTATAGAAGAACGAGAACCAGATTGTGTGAAGGTAGCGACTGCCCCCCCCCCTCCCCCCTTATCCTGTACTCTTTCAGAACACAGGGGGCCGGCGCATAGATCCACGATGCAGTTGCAATTGCAGCGCGTCTTCGCCAAGTTTGTTCGCTGCCTACCTAGCACACTTTTTCTAGGATGAAAGTGAATCAGAAGATGCGTACACACCTAGTGAGTCGGAATCAGGTGAAGACGAAAGTGATGAGGATGAGAGTGAAGGTATAATAACATTGATGCAACCTTTTCATCTCACCCCTCAATTCCCTATATATTTGTTTTTAGTTGAAGCAACATCGGAGGAGAGTGAAGAAGAAGGTTCGCTAGATTCCGATGAATCTGAAGGGAAAGACTGGTCAGATTTGGAGGAGGAAGCGGCTCGAGCAGATAAGCGAAGGGATATCGAAGATGAAAGAGGTGGTGGCGATAGGCGGCACAACGACAGGGACCGAGATCGTAAAAGACATCGCGATAGGCACAGCGGCTCTAAAGGTGCTCCTCCTGCGAAAAGACATAAGTGATTCTTGGAAAACGTTTGTATCACACAGATCTTTCGGTGAGTTTTGGAGTTGTGTAAAGTTGTGGGTATCATGTGAAATAATCCATTAAAATTGTTCTGTAGGCCCACATTTTTGACTGGTTTGGCATGTTGTCTGTTCTCACCTGAGTGGATGTGTTTTGTGTATGTTCAACATTATAACCTCTTCCTCGTCTTGTACTTTTGGAATTTGAACAATGATCTTGACCCTCATAATGAGGCCTTTTCGCATGTGTATTTCCTTTGTTTTTATTTTCCGGTTCAATGCGATCTACGTGGTTTCTAATTTGATTGATGAAGTTTTGACATTCTGTGCTTGTTTCTGAATATTCTGGACGTTTTCGGTTTTCTGTAGTTCACTGTCGGACTTACGCTGAGCTGGAGCAGTAAATGTTTTAAAGTTTATCGGTGTCCTGAGGTTTTTCTAAAGTTTATACGGTGAAAAAAATTTGAGAGAACTGGGAGTCTGTACGAGGTCAAACTGCATTGACTGGCACGCGTACTTCAGCTATTCAATTGATGAATTGCGGTATATGCTACACTACGCCGAAAGCAGGGCACGCCATCGCGTTGTGATCATTTCCTAAAAAATGCGACCCCCTAATTCTGTCCTCAAATAGGACCCCCCTCCCCATGCTACCTACCACTTTCTCCTAGATTTTCCCAATTTCCTACCATTTTTTTCCCCGAAAAATTTTCAGTTTTTCAGCCAAAAAAATTTCGTCGAGGGGATCGTCCAGAATTTAACTATCATTTTCTCAATTTCAACTATCGGAAATAGCAGTCCCTCTCTCAACAACGGCCAAATACGACCCCTTTATACCGTCCGTGAAATAAGAGAAACCGACTACCAAAAAAATTTCTCAGACCAAATACGACCCCTCCCCCCTGACTCGCGGTCAAGTACGTCCTATCTCCCCCGTTGGTATCATCACAACGATGGCGCGTCACTCTACGCGCGGAAGAAGAGCGTTCTCTCATTAGAGACGGATAATGAGTCAGTTGAGAAGCCGTTCCTACGAGTATCATATTGGGAAAAATCCCTTAGGGCATGATAGGCAGGAATTTGTCAATTTAAGGTGCGTGACGACAACGCGCCATCGAACGGTGCTTGTAGTTTCCCGCTGCTACAAGTGGAGAGAGAATACCGATTGTTCCGTACGACAGTGAGTTCGTCGACAGATCAGGGACACAAGCAGCGCCGTTAGGCATTGTTCACACTCTGCGGTCCAGCGTTTCTCTGAAACGCGGCGGTTCGGCGAAAAGCTTTCGATACATATCGACTGGCGGTTGGGCGAAGAGCCTGGCGGTTGGGCGAAAGGGTTTTGGTACGTATCGACGGGCGTTTCGCCAAACCGCGACGTTTTTCGCCTTCGACAAAACGCTAGCTCCATCGCGGTGGCGTTTTTCGCCAGCGAAATCGATACACATCTACTGCTTTTCGCCCAACCGCCCAACCGCGGCGGTTGGGCGTTGGGCGATTCTCCGATCGATGACTATTTTTGTTTCTTCTCTTCCAAACGCTGCCGTTTCGTCAGGCGCCTGAGACTGTAGAAGCAATGCCTTACCGAGGTTTCGTAAGATCAGGTAGGCCGGCGCACGTCATGTCAATGCCGTTACGAAGGTGACGTGCAAACCAAGAACACCATGAACGATGCGCTTAGGCCGGTGGTCGGACTTCCTTCAGTGAGAGCTTCTGAACAGAAATCTATGCTGTTCATCGTGTCCACTTGAAGAGCGCACTTGTTCAAGTTCGCTGTCTGCTGGCTCGCTTGGTGCTGTGCGCGAGTGTATGGAGTTTCGACAATCTCATCTGGTGGGAGCCAGGCGATTCTATCGTTGGCAGCTCAGGTCAACTGCCGCACACAGCCGTGCCGTCGCAAATCCCGGAGCTGTGCTTAAAGTTAGCATGTGTCACGGCGTCCTGCTAACACTCTGGGATGAAATGCTAGTTTGATTTCAACTAATTTCTCCACTATAACAGCACCTATCATTCATTATTCACTGCTGCGGGGTTGATATTCGCTACAATCAATAAGAGTAATAATCTATAATTATAACAGCGAGAGATAGGAAAAACATAATGGAAAAGGTATCAAAATGGGATGACGTAGGGCTCGTAACGCGCTTTTGCCACGCCGCCCGCTCGTCCGCCTACGCAGCGGCGAGTTAGTTTTAAGGGGGCATTGGTTGGGGTGGGGGAAGAGAGTGTAGAACTTGTGTTTCCTTTGTAACACCGCCACCGTAATATCTGCTTAGGAACAGACAGAACTAGCAAATACGTTTTTCTTTCTCGCCTCTCCCATCACTTCTTCATTTCTCCATTTTCGTCGTGTAATGCTTAAAGATGCATGACACGGGGCAACTCAACACCATTATAACTTCCTCATTGGTGCGCTGCTCGTAACTAGTCATACAGATAGGGTGGGGGGCACGATGCGATCCGACGAGGAAGGCACCTTTGATGTAAGTCCCCGCCCATCCGATTATCGAACATTGCGTCTTTGCTTTGAATCCGAAGAGGAAGACTTTCTCCGAGAGGTCTGGCGAGCTATTTTGCATCCACTTTCTGGTCACTAATGAAAGCGATCACAGGAATGATAGCGGTAGCTTCGAAAGCAGCCTTGTTAGGTCCATGACCAGTTCTGGAGCGCCTGATAATTTAAAGGCAGTTGGCACGATAAATCGCTATACAGATGTAGGATTTGTACGACTGGCTTAACAGAATTCCGTGACCTCGGACAGGCGCTCCGTGGCGCCTTTTCCAAGGAGGGTACCCCTATAACGCCCTATCGAGCAACAACATTCCGTCCAAACGCTCTCCGCCGCCCGCCCACAGATGGACGACCGTTCCTGACGCTCGTATTCATTCATTTGCTAAGCAATTATGAAGCAAAGGGATTGGTATGAAGCGGCCGTGATGCTGCATGCATACATGGGTACACATATGCAGCCGTATCTTCGGTAGCGGTGATTGGCAAGAGAATGGAATGCGCGGGAAACTCGTCCGAAATCGATTTACAAGTCACTGAGAACGGAGGCTTTTTCTTCGCAGGATTTGACCGTTTCACTCCGTTCTTTCGCCATTTCCCCACTATACAGCGCATTTAGGCCGAGTGGGAAACCATCGTGCTAAATACTGCGGTGACAGTTTTGTCATGCAACATTCGTACCGCTCACTGAAGTCATAAATGAGCCCAACAGCCGGTACCGCTCCACTTCGAGCCTAAGATGACAAGCATATCATTCCATATTGCGGACCCACAGATACCCGTGCGCATGCCACGTCGGGATAAGCTCCGTGCAACCGAGCCCTCGATCCCATTCGCATGGAATCGTCCACGAGAAACGGCGAACAGCAAAAGGATCAAAACGAGGTGGGCCCGAAATCAGTTCTTATTCAAGGACAGGTGGATTGGTCCCAGTGGACAGCAAAAGGGGTTTATTAGTGCG